TCTGGGCAAATATATCCCTGTGTTAATTAGCGATTTCACGCATCGGTTGAAATCGGAGATTTCGTATGTGAATTTTTTTACTAGTTTTGACGTAGCAATAAATATCGACTGTAAACAATTTTTCTATGTCTATAGAACATTTTTATGGAGAGGCAAAAAATAAATCTTTTAAATATTTATTCCTTCTTTTCAGGTTTTACGATTTAATCAAATACAGGATGACGTAAAAGCTAGTTCGGAAATAATTTGCAAAATATTTACGTCGCGATTGATTTTTTAGTTCGCGTATATCGCTTACACTGCGCGGAAATGTGTATCGCGTTACAAATTTTTGCTGAGGAAGGGTCCAAGGTGCAATACTTTTCGTGCTGCAAAGTGCTGAATCTAGACATACCTATGTACATTCGATGCGATAGCGATGCAATAATAAGATGTTAGTCTTGAATAAAGTTAAATTTGCAAGAGGAAAAGCAATTTTGCGAGTGAATAATTTTTTTATGACAATGCATTGTTTAAGAGGCTATGTTGTTTGTTTAGAAAAAAAGATTTTATTGAATAAATGTATTTATTCTCGTTGTTAATTTATTTTAATTGATGGAATCGGCAACACAATTGATGCTTTGTATGAATCATTTACTATAATAAAAACATCAATATCGTAAATGTTTATCTATCAAAAAGTACTTTGTTTGAAATCCTCAGACCCGATGTGTTTTATATTATATTCATAATTCCTCTCGTATATAAATTACCATAAATATAAGATATGTACGTAGCTCAACACTCGTTTATATTTAACAATCTTTGGTTTAATCAGAGTTTAAAGTTAATTGGTGCAGCTCGCTCACTTATTTATAGTCTGAAGATTTTTTGCAGTGGGTACGAATTATGGATCATAAATTACATTATACAGTCTGTTTCGGCTCCCAACATTATATACACTTCAACCCACTATATATAATCGAAAAGCAATAATTATCTTACTTACAATGAAATGCATAATGTGAAACTGGTTTGATTGAAGATTTATTTAAATAATTCGCGAATATAGAGGAATATGGAAAGTGCAAAACTGCCACTTTGAATGATGATAATAAATCTTATGGGATTGCAAAATTATTTTTCCTTCCCGATTCATATTCAATCATTTTTAAACAAATAAAGATGTAGAAAAATATTTCCTTTTAATCAAATTATAATTTTCTAAAATAGAATAACCCCGCAGAAAATGACTCTTAGCTAAAGCTGCTCTCTTTCTCCGATTTAAATGTTAACATCCAATTTCTCGTGTCTACGACCGTGAAGAGAAAACGCGCCGCGCTCAGCATCCGTTCACCATAAGATTCGAATCGCGGATAAACGCACAGAGCGTGTAATCACGCGTACGATTACGACGTTCACCGCCACCAGCGTCGCGGCTCCGTTTACGGGGTCGTGACGAGAATCCGGAGTCGCGTGACGAATCTCGCGGCACCGTGTCATCGTCATCGCGATGCGTCACGAGGCGTGGAACACACCGGCAGACGTATACGCGCCATTTGGTATTTATTGTCGCAGACGGAAATAAAAATAATGCGAGAGTATGCGCGTATACGGCAGGCGTCTCGGCTGCTTGTGTGACATCAGCCCCTCAATCAATCCGTTTTGCATGATGATGCATGAAGCGCGTTCGGCGAATGTCGCGCGAGAATGTTCATCTGGGTGTGGACGCGACAAACGTTGCCCATATAAATCCTTTCGTCAACGCATCGTGAAATCTCGATTGTCTCAGCAATTTAACGATACATTCGGCTTGATTCAACGTTTGATGCCGGCTAGACAGTTGTTTCGTAAAAAATAGAGATGTGAGATACATGAAAAAATTATTTACCGTCTTTCAATTCATCTTACTAATGGAATATGGTGTAATAAATAATTATCACTCGCGTGTTAAAATATATAATCTGAAAAAATTGATTTTATTGCGACATTATAATCTTGTCATTAATTTGTTTGATTAGAAAAAAGCTGCTGTAGATTTTATAGCATTAGTGTTCTCGTATATACTTTTTCTTAGAAACGTAGCATTGAAAAAATGAACGTGATCTTTCAACTGAGATCATTCTAAATTGATTTACGAGGCTCGTCTATGATCCTATGCAAATATCGCAATACGAAAGTCACGTTTTAATTTCCTCCTCGCAATATTAGTTTGCAGAATCGCAATCGGATGATACATGTTTACATGTGAGAGCTTGAATATATTTTAATTGATTAACTGAGATGACGTTATTCATTAATTCAAACAATGATTCGAAAAATTAATTCGAAAAGTGAAACAGCAAAATCAAAGGCATTTGTCACATTGTTTTAAATTTACAATAAGTAATATATTGTATGAATTAGAAAATCAGTAAAAAAGATATATTTAATATGAACTCTCTTTCTCTGAGAAACTAATCAGTTGATATAAATTTATATAATTGCATCGTGAAACTATCAGATACGAAATAATCTTATAGATATTACACGATTATTCTATATATAATTAAATTATTTCATTATCTATGTTACGTTGTATACGTAATTAAATTATTACGTTAATTTAATAAATTATCACTAGAATTATATTACAATACTAATTATAATTATAATTATGTATATACATTTGTGATTTTACTATTATATCACTATAATTATATATGCAATTATGATTTTACTATCTATTAAATAAATATAATCAATTTTATCACTATGAAGTATCGCGGTATCACATTTTCATTTTACTCTCGCACAATTATCTTACCAACTTTACCGCTTTACGTAACTTATTCTTCTCTGTTAAAAATGATTGAATTTGATCAATAAATCTTGCTGTATGACCTGGTATTTAAATACGATCGATAAATTTTCCTGTGGGCAAACCACTTTGGTACCTTACTGCTTATAATCAAAAACGAGTCGAGAAAATAAATTCACAGAAATCGTACGTCAAGTGATGATTACCGAGCGCGAAACTTATAACATTATATGCATCCATGTGCACAGAATATATAAAAAATCATGCATTTTTTTTTTATTACGCATATTCAGCAAGCTGAGACAAACTTACTTTTAAATGAAAATATATTGATTAAGTGTGTCTATTAACGAGCAAAATTAGTATTACTTTTATATATTTGTGTTTGTACATTTTTATATTTTCGCACATGTATAAATTTATCTCTATATATCTTTTTACATATAAAATTAAAGTATGGCAGTTAATCCCAATAACCTTGGTAACACGGGCAAGCAAAATTGTAAACAAAGATAATGCTAAAGCTCTCAGTGATATATGGTCGTTGGAATATACAGGTATTATTACCGATTGTTACGCCTATCGTAACAATATAACTACTAGCCTTGTCTCTTTACGATATATCGCGGCGGGTTTTACGGAGAATTGTTCGAAGAAAGACGAACGAATACAAAGATTCCATGCAAATTCGGTAGGCGCAAAAAACTTGGGATATCATGAACGTAACTCGCGAAGCTGGGAATATAACATATCGGCGATAAAGCGGTATCCAACCGATTCTCTCGCGCGTTTCGATGGTGAATTTCAGAATCAAGAAGTATCGGAATATCATTATGTCGAAGGTCCCATCACCATTTTGTCGTCTCATATAAAATTTTAGTATACATATTTCGTTTATATTTGACAGATTGACAAGTATTTTCATCGTCACGCTGCATTATTCTGTCGGAGAAGCGTTTCTATCTTCGAATTTTTCATAAGAAAAGCAAAAAAGATATTTCTAACACTTTTTTATAAGTTATATTGAAATTTTTCTTTTTTATTATACAGAATATTGCGAATATTTTACATTTTCCGGTATAAATTGTCAATTTATGAAAACAAATCATGTAGCTAATTTTAATCAACATTTTGCCTGAAAATTTTTAATATTAATAAATATACGTAGATATCTGAAAAGTGTTAATCAAACTTTATTTATATTTTACACGAAATCTCTCGTAATCTAGACCTCGATATTTATTTTTACTAGAACGATACAACGCATCAATGAGACATTTTTGGCCGGGTAAAGTGTTTCTAGATCGCGTTCAACTTTGAGTACTGTTTTGCATCTATGTTTAGATCACGTTCAGCTGACGACGATAAACTAGGTCGGATTAACGCGCTTCCTTGAGTGAGTTTTCCTTTACTAAAGAAGACTGTTTGTGTCATCTTTTCTTATATACTTGATAAATGTCGGATTCGGAGCAGCATGATAATATTGCAATTCATACTCTAATGAAAAACTTTCGCAGCAATATGTAATATTCGATACATAACGTTATATTGAAATATAAACGGTATATGTTATTGTTTACCAATCTATCTGTAATTTAATTATTGCACGCCGCAATCTCCGATTGCACGCAACATAAATGTAAATACAATTAGTTGGTAGCTATTTTCACTGACATTTATTCGATCGGACACTGAAAATAACACCCATGATAATTTGAAAATGCGAGATAGAAAATCGATTGATTGTCAAGCACTACACGTGATTGACATTTGAATCAAATAATAATAGTCAATGTCAATTTTATCATAATAGCTGTCAGAGAAAATATTGTATCTTTCAATTTCTTTTTCCTTCGAGATTTCGAGAGAGGTGAATTTTACAATCTCAAGTTGCCAAGCGTCAGGCATCAGCGTCTCCCATCGCATATACGACAAGTAACGACTTGCCTGAATAATATGAATACCTGTAACCGGATTTCGCGGATAAACGGATTTTCCGCACACATAGCGGTTTATTGCGTCGCGTTGCACGCATTTTATCTCACGGTGATTAAATTATGTTGCGTCACCTTGATATCGACGTATTAGACGTGTGTTGGAATGCACTTATCGAAATTTTACGCGCAGGAAAGCAGTTCTGCGATGAAAATATGATCGTTTTAGCGCCCGATAAATACCTGGCACCTCATAAATAATGCATACAATTTTTTGCTGTTATCAGATGTGGCGATTACTTTTATGGACGCACTTCCTCCTGCTGACCGTGCTAATAGCACCGGTGCAGAGAGTTGCAGCATGCAGCTGTATGCAGGCCCATCCCCAAACTAAATTTTGTGAATCGGATTTCGGTATGATAATAATTTTATGCTCAATAACATCTTTTTTTTTATATCGTGAATATATTATATAAAATATCAAATATATCAATTACGATCTTATTATCTTATTTTATGAAAGATTTATTATCTGTAACTAGCATATTAATATTTTAATATCTTTCGATAACATTTTGATGAAAAGATTTTGGATATAAAATAAAACTACACAAGTACTTTGCGCAATAAAAATATATCATTATCTCTAATGTATCAATCACTTCGCGTAAAATATGGACTTGTTGCACACGAAATAACAGCAAAGTATACTTTGCGGTTTTCGTAGAAATCACGATTAACGACATTCTTTTATCACAGTCGCCGTAATAAAGGTGAAGAAAGTGCTCCCCGTGAACGAATACGAGATCGCTTATAAGGTCAAGATAAACAGGGTCTTCAAGGTGTGTATTTTGTGCCGGTAAAACGTCACGCGCTCAAAGAGACGTCGTCACGTTCATCGCGAAATGTAAACTAGTAGTTTAATCATCTCTTCTTCTTTCCCGTCCGCAGTCTAATTCAAAGGCCGACATAGCTCTGATGCAAAATCTTTTACGGACTCCGTCCTCGTCCTCGATGTGCGGCGTTACGTTGCAAGTCGGCGAAACGTATGTTCTTAACGGAAGAATCGTCTCGGGACAAGCACTCATTTCGTCCTGCGGGCTCTCGATAAGGTGGGCCGATACCACCAGTAGACAACGCAAGGGATTACGACAGCTCTATCAGCCGGGATGCGTATGCGACGTAAGTTGGATTATTTTATTCGTGAAATTTCAAATTTATCTCATACAGTCATTTTTTAATATTGAAAAAATTCCATATATGCTTCATAATTTTTTGAAGAATATAATATGATATTCAGTCACGTTAAAATGAAAAACTTAAAAATTTTTGAATTTTGCTAAAAATGCTGCTTTTTACAATCTCTCGCAATTTACTCATTTTTTTATATCATTTTTATATCATTTATATCATTATATCATTTATATTTTTTATATCATTTATATCATTTTTTTATATTGGAGTATTTTTCATGATAAGCGATTTTGATTATAAATAAATATTGTAGTAAGCGATTTTGATTATAATCAAAATCGCTTACTACAATATTTTTTCAATAAATAAAATATTTGTTCAATAAATAAAATAATTAAATTAGAGAGAAGAGATTCGTAAATCAAATGTATATTGAATATTTTTTTCCGATTAATTCCGTGAAAATAAAAAATTAAGGCAATAAATCATTTACGCTATAAATCCCTGCCAATTTTATACATCCGGGAATGGTTCTCAAAAATGGAGTGTCCTGAAAATAGCGGCTGCTGCACAAATGCACTTTCGTTCGATTATAACCATGACTTCTGTGAGAGAATCGCGATTGAGAATACAAGCTCGCGAGAAGAAACGCGAAAAGAATGGCCTGGTTTTTGTATCGCAGATTCTGTATACACACTGGAGGCGCAAGGGAGCCGTGCTAGAGTCCAGTGGCGGAAAACGTTGCCTGTGGGAAAGCACACCAGGCCCCCAGGATTGCCAAGAAAAACACGGCGTGTGCATAGCAGCATCCGGTAGCTGCTCCTGGATGCCCTCGGTCCCGTACAAAAATTGCATCAAGGAATATCAGCATCAACGCGACCAACAGAGGTCACGGGAACCTTAATCGAGATAGTTCGCGTGTTTTCAGGAAGGAGTTAAATCTATCAATTTATCGTAAAAGGGAGGAGTTAAATCTATCAATTTATCGGCGCAACGCGTGGCTGTTAATTAATTTAATTGAACACGCCGAAGATAATCGAGTCATTGAGAGGCAAAACGACATAGTGCTAGCTTAATGGAAAATTCAACGATGTATTATCGCACGAGGCAAACAAAATCCGTTCCTTGCTTTATTCCTGCTTTTTGTATTATTCGATACAAAATAATATGTATTTAATGATAAATTTTTTCTACTTGATTTTCTCTTTTATATTATCTTAATATTTTTGAATAATATCAGATTTGTGTAAAAAAAGATATTAGATTCTCCTCGAAATGACGAGATGGCTTAGTAAATATTTGTAACATTTTCTGAGCAATAATTATATATAACAATTATATCAATCATTAATACTGATATGTTAATCTTTACATATTAATTTTTATAGATTTTTCTTAGATTTTTGATGGACCTGTCATTTGTTAAATTATTTATAATTTAGCAAGAAAGTCAGATAATTTTTATAGTTTTATTCGACTTTCTTGAGATATTTACTATAACAGGCAAAGTAGTTGATTATTGATAGATCTAACCGATGTTAATACAATCGACTTTTAAGTACTCGATTATTATTAACATGGGATAATTGTAGCGCTTAAGTATTTACTGGGTAGGTCGTTGATAGTCGATATGCGTTTTGTTATTGAAATATAGGCGGCCTACTTTCACGGTTATTGTGTCTTAGCAAGTTGTATATATTATATTGTTAATGTATATGTTGCCCCTTAAATTATTCAGCTATCGTTTCGTTGTACGTAGAATCTTAGATTAAAATTTCACTTGTATTTCATTACATTTCGTAATATTTTTTCTAGATTTAAATTAGATTGCGACACATTGCATATATATTTTATGGATTTTACGGATTATTATTTACGATTGTCAAATAAAATCAAAAGCTTTGAATTCATAATTTTAGAAACTCATATTTTTATAATTTTAATACAGTTAAATATAATTTATAATTACATTCTAATAAAAAGTTAAATATAATTTATAATTATATTTTAACGCATAATTTTATGTAGATTTGTTTTTTATACGAGATTTTTTATTTGAATTATAGACAGATTATGGACAGACTCGTTTGATTTTAATCATTATATTGTACACAATATTCGTTAAATAAAAGTATTTTAAGTGGATTAACATTTGGAATAAAATCTGCGAAAAATATTAATGCAAAATTTTTATGTGAATTTTCGATCGAAAGAAGATCGAGAGGCGGATTTTGTACCTATGTTTTAATTTAGCTCTTAAATGTAATAATTTTATATAAATATTACATGTGACATATAAAATAAAAATAAATAAAAACAATTGTTTCCCCAACAATTGTTTGACATGCTCTGATTGTAATATTATCATTGTAAATGGTATTTTTCTGACAATGCATTCTGTTTGCCGGATAATATTTTTCTACGACGATTGTTTGCTTTTTGAAGGAAAAAGTAATGTGTTGAACAAATATTCATCAATCGATTTTACTCACCATTTCACGATGATGGGGATAATAACTCTGTTCGATCAGGGGGAAGTTGTCTTTACCCAAACGACGTTGTAAACCCAGCAGGTGTGCAAATACCCATGGTTTGTCCTATTTCGTAGAACACGTAGCAATTATCGAAAGATTTGAAAAAGGGATATAGATAATAAAATCAATAAAAGCATTATGTATGGAATTTTCGCTCATATCGAGAGCATATATTTAAATTTCATTTTTATTCTTTTCAAATAATAATATTTATATTTCAAACGTACAACGTTTTAAATTTTTCACGAAATTTTTATGCGAAATTAAAAGTAGATAAACTCTAATAATAATAAAAATAGAAACCTGGAATAGTTACCTGGAAATTGTAAATTGCTGTTAGATTATTAACGCTGGGTACACCGCCATACATCAGACCAAGAAGGAGATTTTTGTAATCTTCTCCAGCATCCCGTAGATTTTGTCGTATTAATACGAAATCAGGCTTGAAGGATCTAAACATCAATACGCATTTTCTCTACTCGATGATACTTCGAATAAAATTTGTATTTTGATTGCGTATTTTTAGATTATTATTTATCATTTTATTTAGAGATGACATGCATGTCAACATTAATTTTATAAATATTCGAACCATGTTTAATTTGCTTCTCAATATTTGTTTATTTCGATATTAAAATAGATTTGTAGATTGAATGTAAAATTACTTTAAATTTAGGTCAAATCATGCAATGTCGTTTAATGTTGAGAAGTGTTGGAATGTAAAAGTGCATTTTTCTGTTCCTCTGTATCTTACCGGATGACTTTGGTCCCGTTACGATAGACAGCCATGGACACAATGGTGCCTGCCTCGCTGGCTGTAAGGGACAGTTCGCGAAATTCCGCTTGCTCCACGCGAATCTCATAATCGCCGTGCAATCTACGACCCCGGAAATATTTGCTCCAGTCGGTGTTCTGGTCGTCGATCACCAGCAGAGTGAAGCATCGGTCTTTGCTATATGACGGGCCTCTGGTCGCGCCAGATACCGCCGCTCCCAAAATAGAAGCACCCTACACGTCATTTTAACTGTCAAACGCTGTAACATTCTGCTTTCATAACCGTGCAATATAGTGACTAACTAAACGCGGAAGGTATCTGGACTATAATTAAATACCGACATGAGCAAAATATCAGTATATTTTGAAGAGCAAAACTTTGGGATATTTGTTCCTAAGACAACGCGATTAAAAATTCGCAAGAGATCACGATATTTGTTATGCAATCAAAATAATCTAATATCTCTGCCTTTTCATCATAGTTATAACAATGTTGAGTGATGGAGCTATCGCTTCTCGTTGCATTAGCCAATTTCTGTCGGGCAGAAGGCGTTAGATAATAAAGGCAGAGGCTAAAATTAACTTGCCTGGTCGCGAGCGGCGCCGGTTAAGCTCTGCACTCGCTGGAGCAAACTCTCCCGTGTCTTCGCCGGCGAGGACGGCGCACTGGTGGTCCGCGAGCCAGGTCTCAGGTTAAGGCTGAGGTCGCCGCCGATGGGCTGCGGCGGTCCCTGAGGTGGCGCGCCCGGGATGGGCGGCTGGGTTGGCGGCGGTATCGGGCCCGGTTGGGACTGCAGAGGTCGTTCCGGCACCGCTTGATACGGCTGAGACGAATCTTGTCGGCCCACGGTGGCCATCCCAGGATCCGCGTTGGGCTCATCATCGAGCTCCGAGCTCAGATCCCCTGACGAGAACCTGGAAGACAAGCTATGGTGGTCGTCGTGATAGCGACAATCGGTCGGCAAGACCGCGCGTTCACGCCGTCGTGTTTGACTGCGCTAAATGCACATCGATCACAGCCAGTTGATGCTGATGGGACGAGAAATATGGAGATGACGTCGACGATGAGATTGGCAGTCGCTAATCGGCCGGCCTTACATGCTTGTCTATTTCAGCTAAACAAACGATCCCGAAGCAGTGTAATGACACGTTGTTTTCATCTATAAAAGGATTCTTTTCCCCATGATAAGTGGCATAAGACTCGTTTCGCATGGAATAAAACGAGCACCGAGGTGCGAACGATGCGGGGTAACCACACGAAACCGCGTCGTTGCGCATTTACGTCATCATCGACTCACATTGCCAAGCGCCCGTGTGATTTCTCGTCGTAAATAAAAGCGGGAGAGATGAAAAACACGATATCGCTGATGGGGCGAAGGGATAGCGGCTTTATACTAACGTTGCCGGGTGTAACATTAGCAACATTAGCGCGATGACTTGATATCGTAGCGTGCGTCCAGGCTGCTGTATTCGGGGCAATGCTGGAAGCGCTATTTTTAACGAGCCACATGCACACATTCAAACTGATCGAAAACACGAAGGGTTTGGAATTATTAGTAACAATATATTAACACATTTGTGTGTTTAAATAATAAATTCTTTGGCCTTACTTTCAAATCTCTGTCTTTGTTGAGAGATTCTTAAAAATAATTTTTTCTGATGTGTAAAAAAACCTCCCTTACTCTTTCCTTTAAATTCGATCACCAACGCTTGGCAAAAATGTTGCGGAATGTTTAGAGAATTGATGTTTCGATAATTTATATTTATAATTTTAATTAAATTTTTTTAAATATTTACACCGAATAGAAATAATCCATGAAAAGAAAATAAAGATGAGGCAGAAAATAGCGCAAGATTATTCCTAAAAAATATACCTTATAAAATAGACGTAATTTCAAGAGAACATTGAGATTAGTCTCGATTAAAGCGACAGAAATTGAATTTACTTAAAATGGCAATATTGTCCTCGAATTCTATTTTAAACTTTCGCATCTCACTTTATATTATCACTTTGCACTCAATGGATTGGAAACCCTCGCGTTTCAGTGACTGTCCCAATTTTCAACACCATAACTTTGACTTTGTATTGCGCTCGTTTAAAGGCAACTCAGCTAAACGCTTGTATTCCATTAATTGGACAGAGGAATCTATTTTCCCGTCACGAACGCATGATGAGAACCCATGGAATATTGAGATACCGCGCGTTTTCACATCCATTCATTATCATATGAATGCGCGTATAACTCGATATAAGAGCTGATAAAAAGATTCAACTCGTTTCATATATGTGATACAAGAGCTTTCATTAAATACGCCTTTTAATAACATACTCGTATTCACATATTCTTGAGCGAGATACAGCAGTTTACAATCAAAATGTTTTCATATCAGATTTTAATTACAAGAATTCCTGCATTTTATCCGATAATAGTCTACGAATAACCGTAATTACATTAAAAGCGCGTTTACATAAAGATACAAACAATATTGAAATAAAAATATAAAACCCTCTATTTGCATATTTATAAATTATCTCTTATATTTATACACATAATATAATAATAAAGATTGAATAAGAACAAATTATTTCATCCGCAAGCCTTTTTTGCAGATTGATTATCTATACAATTAAGAAATTTTTGGTACTGAAATATCGGCGATAACTTACATAATATATTTCGTACAATTTCGAATCGCGGATTCAGGCTGGCACTTTTTAATTGTATGTGTCAATAAAATTACACGGGAGATTTCTCAACCATTCGGATACGTCAAAGAATATTAAATTAAAACCCCATGACATTTTTCGGCGCGAATTTAAATGTCAGTCCGAATCCGACCCGCGGACGGTACTTTTGAACGACTCACCTCCGTTTCAGGTAGTTGACATTGGTGGTGAAGGACTGACGAAAACTGGAGAATGAAATGTTGCCGGGTGATGGAGCTGTACCACAGTACTTGGCGCAACCGCCGCGGCCGGTAATCTTGATGGTTACAGCGGGCTTGTCGTTGCGATGAAACGGCTCGCGATTTCGTCGCTCGAACCGTTATTCGCGATCCGTAGGATAAGTCGCTCCGGTTCTTTCTGTCGTCACGACGGTCTCGTGCTGATAGGATGATATGATGTCGCGAAATAGGTCGTTTGTAGGTCAATGGATCGTGTCGATGGATCCCTAGATCGATCGATGGGCGACTTTCTGTTCTTGATGCCTCGTGGGATAAACTTCAACGTAAGGTAATCCGAAAGGAAAGGATGAAATAAGAGGAGGTGAGGAAGGAGAAAATAAACAATCCAAGTTGAAATCTGTAACAGGTAATAAAAAGAATACGATTGAATTTGCCAGGTGACCTTTTTCAAATTGCAATTGCATAACTTTTTATATTTTAGATCAAACAAGACTACGAAAATGTACAGATATTTATATTATTCGGATATATTGCATAAATTAAAATATGAATTAATGATTTTATTTTTCATAAAATATAAAATATTTACCGAAAATGCTTTATTATTTATATTAACGATATTTGAACACGAGGAATAAATATACATAATTGTATACAAAATTCTGTACCATTTCATAATTCAACAGCTGTAAAATTGATAAAACTGTTTCTCTATAGAGATATTTTATTATTCAATCAGCATATCGATTATTTTTTGCGCCCGAATTTGATTTATTTGATTTATTCAAATATTGAATTCCACCGAGTATTCAAGTATAAGAATACGCGTCTTGCGTTCAGATTATTTACAGCTCTAATATGAAGAGCTTTTCCTTTCGGTTCGAGTAGTTTAAGTGAAACGACACATTCGTGTCGCGAACAACGTACTTTTATTGCAAGAGACATCTCTTCGTAATTGGGTTCTCTAGTGTATCGAGAATGGTAAAGTAATATCATAAAACTGACTCGTGATTCTCTTACTTTTTTTTACCTTATATTGTACTTCGTGCAAGCTCGCGAGTATTATTACAGTAATAAAAAATATGTCAAAAAAACTCGATAAGAATTTAATTCTTTAATGAATAATTCAGATTAAATAATCGCGCAGAAATATGCAAGAAAGAACTTCAATAAAAATTTATGAGATATAAAAATGGAAAGATAACTCTCGAACTTTATATTCGAGTAACGTAATTTAAATAACGACTACTTATAAATTTGTAAAAAATTTTTTATGATTATATATTTAAAATAGCTGAAAATTTTTTTTTATGAATATTATTTTTTTATCTTATATATATATTCCTCTCACTTCCTCCCTTAGTCTCTTTTTTTATTTTTCTCTCTTCTAAACTTTGTTGGCAATAAAGAGCGTTTCCAAATCACGTATTATGCATTAAGGGCGAAAAACTATGGATGTAACCGGTGTGACCAACGATTCGTAACATAACGCTCGTGAAAATCGATACTCGCGATTTTACTGTGAAATTTCTGAAATGCTTCACGACATCGTGCGAGTGAACAGGCATTTACGTATTCTTGAAACATATGCGAGAATGTTACTTCTATGGCTCGCCCGTATCATACCGGGTACAACGTACCTTCCTTGAAGAGCTCGCGGGATAATTCTATGCTCGCGCGATGGGAAAAGAAGCGTCGAGGAAGCAATGATATGTTTGGACCGTTCATATTTGTTTCTTGCTGGATTCTTCGATAATAGCGACGTCCATGGTTCGCGGAATTGGTGAACTTTGCGTGTAGTAATCTCCAGCATTCAACTTTCTGGAGATCGCAGAGGGAATCCTCGCGATTTCGTTTAATGATTTAAGCAAAGGCAAGAGCGACAGGGTATTTCCAAGATAAATATTGCACGTCAATCCCCAAAAATAATTGCTTTTTGCTTTTTAAATATTTATCATTTCGTAATAAAATTGAAAACAATTGTATTATTTTAAGCATCGAGCACGTGAACGTATAATTCAGAATTTTTTAATTGATTTTAATTAAATTTATTTTAATTAAGATTGAAAAGAAAATAAAATATCTCGGAAAAAATATGCGAGAAATAATAAAAAAATAGTGAAGAACGTTGAAATGAATTTGAAATATATTTCATATTTTTCATTATAATGTTATCCATTTAAATCTTATGCTGCTTTGTAATATTACAGTGATTTTGGTTGCTTTACCTTCGAGTTTGTTATTTCAAGAGATTCAAATCACGCGAAAGTATAACTTTAAGGAAATTGTAGGAATATTGTATGTGTAAATTGAGAAATAAATTAATCTCTACTTGTACTTGTACATGATAATATTTCGCAAGTTTCTCAGTTTGGTGCGCAATATAAACCTTGTGAATAGTAGCTATCTATTAAATTCCCTATTGATAAACGGGTTACACACAGCTATTATGTGTTGATGAGTTATGGTCATGTCAATGTAGTTCATCAAACATTTTACACGCACAATATTGCTAAACATTGAATGGCTTTAATAACTGTAATAGGATTAGGATTAGTGATAAATCAAGTTATTTAACAACAAAAGGACAGTGATAAATCAAATTATTTAACAACAAAAGGGCAATAATAAATCAAATTATTTAATAACAAAATTCTGCAAAGTTAAATATATATGAAAAATAGAATAAAAAATTTAATATTTAATAAAATATATTGTACGAATTAACAATTTTGAGTTAAGCTAAAAATGATCAAGTAAATTATTCATTCATATTTTATCTCAATAACGTTAAATAGAAATTGATGTAAAAAGTATCTCGACTCTCCAAGTTTTGGACAATGATTAAATATTACTTAATATTTGCAAGTAGGTCACAGCGTAATTTGCAGATAATACCGTCTTTAATGCAGTCTAAGCAGTTATACTAGTTACGCAAATAATTATACTTGAACATTTCATGCTGACATTTACCTACCATCAAATTACAGATAATGTAAATATAAAATATAAAAATCAATACAGCTGGCTCACTAAAGTTTAGCTTGATAAATGTATAATTTTAATGAGATATTTATTGAGCGCGAATAATTAACATAGAATAAATTCTCAATTCCTATAATTGCATTTTAAAGCAATATATTCCAATTTATAAACTATATTACAAGAAATATTAATTAAAAGTTTGCAACATGTCAGTGATATTAATACGAATGTAAATGAACATAATAAATGTAAATGGTTAAGATATTAATTATCTTGATATTCATGTGAAATTTAATGCAAAATATTTCGCGCACCATTGTTATAAATTACGCATTCTCGTAATTTAAGTTGCAATGGAATATGAATATTGTACCGTCGGTAAATTTATGTAATTATGAAGATTATATCTCCTAAAAGATTACTGCGTTTTGCCTGTTTTAATCTCTCCATTTAAATAATTTTTAACTGTTGTATGAAATATAATGAAATTTTTGTATAGCGTTTCTTGATGTATCTGTTACAGATTTACTTCAAATTAAAATGCGATAAACGTTACAAGAAATTGAGCAGTCATGCAAAAAGAAAATCAATGAATGCCAATATTTAAAATATCTCAGAAATAATGGATACATCTGTGCAATCATTATTGAATTTTTATTTAAGTACTTGGCAACAATGACTACTAAATAATATCGATCTTATTGGGAAATGAATGAAAAAATGAAAGAGATAGATTCTTTTATTAATTGAGCTATTATTATTATTAACTTTCTGAGCCGCACTTTTATTTTTCATAGAGAAAAACAGTTTTGAGAAAGACAAGTTGTTGCATACGAGATTAATGATTGAATTTATCACTGTCAATTAACTTTAATCTTACATTAGCTCAAGTAATTCCTCGCCTTTTTTAATTGAAACTAGAAAATACATTTCTATCTCTATCACGATTTTAAGTATTGTTACCTTAGAGAATTATTACAATGATAAATTTATATAAGTAATGTCGATAAAACTAATCATAAAAGAATATTATTAAGTACATAAAGGACGGCGTTGTCGCACACAAAAGAATATTTCCCGGCGTTTACATTGATTGTCAAGATCCCTCTCAACAATCATGATTGGAATGTTCAAAGAGCGGCTTTTATCAATGTCGTGACAAAAGAAAAGATGAGAGATGACGCGTTGGTCATCTCGAATATAAAAAAAAATATTATTTGATCAAAAGAAAATCAATGCTGCTTCGTGAAATACACACACCATCACACGTACGCTATTTCCTCTTTTCATCTCTAAAATTTATACATAAAAAAAGAGAGTGTCATACATTCTACTTTTCAATTATCGTTTCATTTTTTCGCTTTCGGCTATCCCGACTATTTATGACTGAACATCGATTGTACCCCGTCCAACCAAGACCGGAATCTTGCGCAATGGACGTAAATCCATAGACTGCACTTGCGTACGAAAATATACTCCCTCATTCAACTAGATAACGATCCCGTTTATCAATAAACGTCCGTCGTTTACCTCTCTTCGCCATCAATACGAACGACAGTATCTTACCTCGATGATCTCGTTCGCAAAGAAGCTAAAATTTCAGCTTCCGCCCGATAAGCAGCCGCCGAACACTCAGTCGCGCAGATTCAACGGTTACAAATTCGCGACGTTGTGCCAACGACGTTATTCGCGCGGCTTATCGATAACACTATCGAGCGACTATCGAGAGCTGCGGCGAAACTACCCCGAGAGAGGCATCGAAACTACCCCTGCTCGACGAAGACTAATCGTCACGTGAAGGTGGTGCGCGCCACCAGCCTGTCACTTGGCGTACTCGGCGAGGCCGAACCGGCGAGGTGATTCTAAGGAACCAAGTTGAAGGCGCAAGTTTGAAGAGGTATCGTCGTTTCCTCGACGGCGACGCGATCGACGGGGTTTTTCGCGGAGTCAGAAACTTAAGAGAAAACGTGTGCGTCTCAGTCAAACTGCGGGCACTCTTACCTGTGTCGCGTGCGTGTACTACCCACTATATTGCCGATGAAGCAGTGAGGCTCGGCGGAGAATCGCGAGGGTGTCGCCCGGAGGGTCACCCCGGTCGATACGTCGACGCCTGCGCAACCCCTTATCATCCACCGACCCCCTGCGCTCTTCCGGCGCTCACAGAACTCGCTCGCGCACCCCCATCGTGACGCGTACGTCTTCGAATGACGAGGATAGAGAACGGGCGATTGGGGGGAGACGAAGCAAAAAATAAGAAAGCGACTCTCGCCTGCCTGTTGGTATTTGTAGAAGATTGTTCGGTGCATGTCAAACACGGTCCGCCTACTTGCCGACAGGGGATGAACTTTGTTCTTGCTTTTGCAACCCTTTTTTCGCGACAAATGCGACGTCTTCGCTCTTTAAGAGCGTCGTCAGCCCCATAAAGAGGGGAGAGAAATCGACTTCGTGGCGAGGATTATCTTTCGAAACGGACCAATCGATGACGTGAACCAATGCTTCTTCTTTTCGGGGGAGGAGCACATTTATTTAAAAAATGTGGGCGAACGTAGGACGCCCGGTTGTTATTAGAAACGCCAAGTTCGACGTCTCTTATGATATTTCATTCGCATGCCGTTGAAGTCGAGCAATTTAGCAACAGTAAACTCTGAAGTATTGACGTACTTGTCGAAGTTCTCGTTGGAAAGTTTCATCTTTGGAAAATCGATACAAGGGGAAAGCTAGACTTGTTAAAAAGGAAAATGTCTTTTAAAGATATATAACTTATTTCTGTCAGACGAAGTAAAAGTTTAGAAGAAATCTCTCTTGGGAATATCCTTTAGTTGTACATCAGATAGCCATGTTTTACAGATTATTCATCAGATCGTTACATATGTAGTTGACGTTGTCTTAAATATAAGATTACACTTGTATCTTTGTGAAAAGACCCATTAATAATTCAAAGGATTATATTCGGCGGTAAAGAAAGGATGTCAAGGCGAATGGATATCAAGAATATAACATTTTTATAAATATCTTATAAGATCTCTATACAGATAAAAGCGAGAAAGTTTTACATAGCGTGCTCGCATTTTTCGCATTCAAAGAACCGTCTGTTCATTTCTGAAGGAAACTTCAATCAATACGCGATGTATTTCTTCTCGTGTTCCTTTACAAGTTTATCAGATGTAGATGAAGGAACAGGAAAAAGTAATGACAGATGCCTTTATCTCGCGTTGCAATTAATCAGTTTATAATAAAAGAGATAAGATATTACAGATATAAAATAATATCACAAAATCGCATTTTATTCTTTAGTTTAGGTCAACGTTGAACATGATCTACTCGATAACCAAATACTTGCATACGTGATAACATATTAAGGAGGTATTAAATTAATTACAGTTTTTAATTGAATTAAATTAAAATATCCTAAGAAGGAAAAAATAATGTGCGTAGAATTTTAATATTTATGTGTGTGTGATTGTATTTATTTTGTAAATGTAAGAAGGATTATTTTATTATTTTTTTAGGTAATTAAACAATATTAAATAATAATAAATATAATAAATAATATTAAAATATAATACATTTATAAGTTCTTTCTAAAATTTTGTCTGAAAATTAAAACAAGTGATATTTTATGCAGATTTTATTTATAAGATAATCGATGTTATGTTAATAACTCGAAATTAGAACGATCAATGTTATAATTTGTTGATGCTAAATAGAGAAAAGGATTAATATTTTACATGTATATTTTTTTGAGATTTAAAATCAGGAAGAAACATTGATTATCCTTATTTTCAGTCGTGGTATGATTGATCACTCCAGTCCCAAGTCTCAGATGCAATATCTCTCGTCGCTCATCAAGATATACTGCACATTATTTTCGAGTGATTACATGCTGCTCTTCCATTGTCTACTCTATGAAGTCTTTGTTCGCTTTGTGATATCTTAAGTATTGCCTTGACAATACATTTTGAAGAGCATTCGTGAAAGTGATATGTACAAAATCGCGAAGTAGCCAGATCGAACGCACCAGATCTCATCTCAGAATATCGGTGTGGATTTTATGAAGAAAGGTCATTGAACAATAAAATTTCATTCTTATGAAGTTATTAATTTAGTATTACACTGTCAAACAGATTATGTCTTTATATATTTAAATTCTTACGCATATTTCTTGAAGATTATTTTAAATATGTCCAATGTTTACTGTAGTTAATTATAACCGGAATGACTGACATAAAGATCTCTTTATCTCCTGAATATTTATCCTGCAAGATCAGTAAACGAATGCAAGAATGGCACAAATTTTTTGAATAATTTGATGATTCGCTTGAATAACTTAGCATCATCTGTTTTTGTTTTCATGTTGTCATTTAATTATCTTCCAACTGTCAAATTAGTCAATTATTAAACAGTCAAGATTATTTAATTAGAAATGTTGGTCTTTTGGAATCAGTGTTGGCTGCTGACAAATTCTAGCAGCAGTTTAAAGTGCCACAAAACTGGTACCCTGCTGGCACATTAGAAACCGCGATTGCCAGTCCCTCCCGTTTGATCTCTACCGTCCTCTTGTGATGGTACCGGCAACTAACCAGCGAATAAAGCGAATCCGGAGACATGAATGCCCGCATTGCGTATACATAGCGAGTCGAATGAAGAGGGAATGGCTACTACGGCCAACTCCATCCCCACCAGAAAACCGAACATCTGAGCGTCCCTGGAAGCAGCTCGGCGGGCGCAGTCATTATTGCGCCAGTCTGACACCCGCCAGCGATCTTCCTCGTCGCGATCGTGCCGACTTTCCGAAGTATTTCAGAGACTTGGTCGCGGTACCAACGCCTCAGCAGGAGCGTGCGTGCGAGAGGAGAACGGCCTCGTGGTCACCTCGCGAGCGCACTCACGGTATCGCGTCACGGTACCCCGGCGTGTGTACGATGAGACTTTTCTCGAGGAACGAGGAAAATGTGACGTGAGAGACTGACCTTCGGCAGGTCCTTCGGCGAGTGCGACACGTTCCGCGACGCAGTCAGTAACGCGCGGGCGCGGGTCATCCTGCAAAGTGACCGTCACGATGAGGAGGTTCCTGTCGACGGCAGCGGTGTGCTGCTGGCTCCTGGTGGCGCTCGGTGTCGGCCAGGTAAGTACGCGGAACTGTTCCCTTCGAGAATTTCCCCCTTAAATTCCGCCGTTTCAAACGCGCCTGCAAGCGCGCCGGAAATCGCGCGTGTTTGCGGATGTGTCGTCAAACCGCTTCGCGGGAAACTTGCCAGGAACTGGGACCGGAAAGTAAATTTGTCATATAAATATTGGAGCTCCGTCAGATGACATTTTTTTACTGCGGAAATTGCTTTATATTTTATATTAAAAAAATTATTTTAAAATCATGTAATATTTATATAAAAAAATAAATAATAGAATAGAATTAAGTTAAATTTATTTTATATTCTATATATATCATTATTTTATATTCTTTATATAATATTCTATGATAAGTCTAATCTTGTTTTCCTTCTTGGTTTCTCAATTATTATTCTCTTAATTGAGATAAAAGATTTTATTGCCCAGCAGGTGTATTATAATGTAACCACAAAGTTTGATCTATCAAAGTAATTACTGATACTCAAACATTCAGCCTTTTAAAGTTGGAATACTTTAAACGGTTTCTTAGGTACTTTTCTTTCTCTTTTCTTAATTTTGTATCAATAAAATTATATTTTTCTGTGTGAAAATTTTATTCGATTTTATAATATATATATCATTATATATATTTATATATTTTTTACATTTAAATTAAAGTTTCTTCAAAATTAATTTTATTTAAAGTTAACTAAAAACAAAAAAGTAGATGTAGATTTGATAGCTTTGACAAGAAAACTGTCTTTCAATATACGCTACGAAAAATTGGGTATTAAAAATATTGATAAAATATTACGTATTAAAAATATTCATAATGAAAGGAGATTAAATAAATCTAGAATACATCTTACATATATTTATGGTCCAAAAAAAATTCTTACTTTATCTTTGTAAGGCAGCTACTGTATCATTTATCTCATAGTTTAATAAGGGCAATATTAATATAGGATTCAACGAGCGATGAATAAGTATCGCAAACATAAATAATAAATGAAAGTTTAATAAATCATGGGGAAGCAATACCCTCGATGCATATGTATTAATTCAAGATAAAGACTGTTTGATTGCGATATATAGACGGAGGTGGCCGATACTATCAGCTGATTAAATGCTGACTAAAGAGAAATTTAAAAAATTACTGTTTGATGATTTGATAAAGCTCGTATCATCTTGTTATTTATCTTCCTCTTGTTTGCTCGATTTGCTAATGTGTATAATGCTCAACGCTACGATAGAACGATGGAGAAAATCATGAATGCATAAATCATTAAATTAAAAAAAAGAGCATTCTGCAACGTTATGTCATGCCAACTCAAATTACATGCAACCGCGACTTATCAGCAATGAATATGCAAAATCAATTCATATTTTTCGCGCAGATGCATATATTATTATTTTAACACTTTAAAAACACATTACTGTAAAGAAGCAAAAATTATATTAGCGCGCTTATATTAAATATAATATTTAAGTACTCTTTTTCATTCCAAATTATTCTTTCGAAATATATGTACATGCGCTACATTTTTATTATTTATTTTTAATGTGTTATGGAACATAAAATGAAATATTAAGATAATTATGCAAATATTTAAATACTAAAGAACATTTTGTTCTTTTAATGATTACTTGCTAGAAAGAAGAGAAGAAATAAGAATGAAATACTCTCGTAACTATTTATAGACTTCGTGTTTTTCGATGTTTCTCATCGTATGCAATTTTATTATTTATGATATCGCAAATCAATCTTTGTGTTTAATGTATATATTAACGACAATATTACTTCCAACTTAATACATGCGACATTAGCAAGACTATATATAACTAATTGCTTTTTGCAATCTTTACGCAAATATTATGCGACTTGACCATTACGGAGTTAATCGAATACACTCTACAGTTATTCGTTTTAGTATATATTCATTTCGTATTATCTATTCCATTTTTTCTTCTTTTTTATAGACATTTTCTAACGAAATGTTTTATTTTTCTCTGAAACTTACGAACGAAAGGGATAATTTGCATCAAATTTTTCTCAACTTTCAAACAATAAAATTACACGGTTTTTGAGATCAAACGATAGTAACGCAAACAGACGCAAACTAGTTCCTCGATTTCATCGTCATGCAACAAAAATACGTGCGACAAGAAAAGTCACGATAACGTGAAAGTATCAGTGTTCGAAAGCAATGAACTTCTTTAATCTCGAGATTAATAACGCGAATTCTTAAAAGCATTTTTATTTTAGGATAAATGTATTATTTTTTTATCATTTTCTATTTTATTTGAACAAATTATGGGATGTATCTTAGATTCAAGAAAAGTTAAATATACATAAAGAGACAGTAAACATTTTTCATTCCATGCATTGAACATATGTGACTTTTATTATATAGATTTTTTAATTTTCTATTATATAATTATATAGTTTCAAAATCACATATACATATATTTTCTTATTTTTACAAATCCAGAATAAATTATCTTCAATCACATTTGATATAATTTATTAAAAGGTTAATGTACCATGTGGCATGCAATTCTTTTATTCGCTCCGAAATGTATCGTGGGACGAAAAGATCTCAGAGTCCGCCTATTACGAGGAGGAATGCACTGAATCCGCGAGCACGTGTGTAAGTGTGTGTGCGCCCGCATAAATGTGCAACACGTGCGAGGAGAGCGACCGTCTGCTCCGAGCGCGGTTCCAGCTTTATACAGTTAATCAAAAAATCTAATTAACGAGAAGCTGCTCCCGCTCCATGGGCGGTATCCGCATTGTTTATTGCGCATTCCGCTGATTATCATTTGTTAACACTAACATTGCGACCTTTAGTAGACTTCAACCCTCTTCGGACTGGCGTGCAATTATACCACAGAGATTTAATCTCGCTCAAACGGAGATGAACGAAATATACACTTTAATGCCATGCGTTTACCGTGCGTTTATTTTGCCCGCACAGTTTGTAGCATATTTTGAGCGAAGCAACAAATTTAATATTCCATCGAGAAATCTGCAAATTAGACTAACAAGAAGTTATCCTTGAAGAAAATAAATAACGCAGATAAATCTGAAGCTTGATTTTTTCTTAGATATATATTTCACATTTCTTCTAGTACTTACAGTTAATACTTTTAATTAATTTTTTATTTTTTCTGTATTTTATACAAATTTCTCTCTCAAAAATTTTATATTCAATTAGATGTACAAATTCAAATATCCAACATGATGCTTTAATTAACTTGATTTTCTCTCTCTACATGAATTCGAGATATTAAACATTAATAATTAAATTTTCTATATTAAACATTAATAATTAAGTTTATAATTAACAACGTATGTATCCATTATATAGTTTACATTGAGAAATGGAAAGGGATCGTGTGTAAGCTCGATGAAAATTTTAATTGCAAAGAATGGATCTCGAGAAATGCGCTCACGCATTAATTGCGAATACGTGTATCCGAGTTTCCGAGCGAATTTTTCGCTCTTTCCGATGTGTCCCCGTAATAGCATCGGATCCCGATAGTAGGCGGTCTTATTGAGCACACGGCCTTACTATAGCTACTTATGTTGCCGTATTAATATTTATGAGGTACCCTATGGCACTACGGTGCGAGATAATGCGTTCTATATAAAGCGACGCGAGAAAGTGATAAATTCGGACCATTACATAACTGGCCACACACACACAAACACACTTTTACGTTAACTTATATAAGTCGAATCGCTGTGCGTCGTGTCGGAGAAAACGAGAGAAATATTCTTCCTCGGCGAGCGAGCATTCAATGGTGCATTATACTAACTCATTATCTATGCGCAATCGCTGTCGATTGTAAATCAAGCTGTGGGTAAGAGGAATTTGTGACAAGCCATACATAATTCTTAATTGCGTGTAATTGAATAGAAAGATGTTGCGTTGCATTCTCTCTCTTAGGAACAACAAAAATCATGCAAATTCCAATTCGTTATATTTTTTTATATATACATGTGTTCATATTTTTTAAAATTAATAGTACAATAATTTATTACATATTATATAATAATTTAATTATTTATATTATATTATTTATATTAAATTATTTATATTATAATAATTACATATATTATATTATTAATTTTTTCATTATTAATTTTTAAATGTATTTTGAGATAGAAAGACATTTTCAGATATATATCGAAGAGCCATACACACACGTACTTTTATTTATACGCGCAAATAAGAATAATATTATACACTGATTATCTTTGACAGCTGCATTGCCGTTGCTAGCTTTGTGTTGTAACGGAGGATCTGATCTTTGACATTGTAAAATCGCTACATTGCATTACGATAGTGATTTCTTTCGCGTGAGCGAGATATGACCCAACGATTGACGTGCAACGTCGGATGATCTAGTCATAAACGCGCTCCCCTCAATGACAACGTATCAGAACGCGCAAGGTAAAATCAACCTAGATTATTTAAGTGATGCTCGTCCTTGTGAATGCCTGCGATTTCGCCATGCTTAGTGTCCCCGAGTCGATCACGCGTAGAGAATTTTTTCCTGCGTCTTCTTGCGCACAGCACGCGATTGCTGCACTGAGAAAAATCGTTTGATTGCACCAACAAAACGTATATGATTGAAGGCATTTTGGTTAAATCAAACAAGAATTTATAGTTATCGTGATAAGACTCGATTTTTTATAACTAGAACGTTTAATAGATTTTACTATAAGAATTTGGTTAGTATTTTCTGGTTGGATCTATAAAATTTCTTGTTACATTAATTTCTTTGCTTGCTTCTTAACTTAACTCGCATTCAATATTTGCCATAAAATGTATATAAAAAACTAGTATTAACGTTAAATCCAAAGTATATTTTTTTTTCTCTTACGAGCAGTAGTGCCAGAAAGACGCTAGCTCTCTGATTGTGTGTGTTTGAGCTGCATCCTCTTCTTGCATCACTGTTTATCAGTTTAATTTCTAACAAACTGAATTTAAAATAATTTATTCAAATCTG